TATTCCTTCCTTCAACATTCCATATACTTATAGACCCTCCTTATCCTTGGTTTCTTTCCTCTCTCGGCACAAGCAACAGATATCTTCTCCTTGAACCCCTTTAGACCCTCCATTTTCAGCGTTTCATCTTCGTCGATGTCGAGCCCCTTCCATACGTCCTCTACAACCTTGACCCCTTCCGTGAGTTGTCTACCCCTCTTTTTATTTGCCCACTTCGCCTCCCTACTATTCTCGGCAACCTCTCCTCTCCCATCCCGCTCATGCGATACTGCCATGTGAGCTTCCTTGCCTCTTCCCGACCGCAGGGATTGGATCCCCAATTCTGCCGTGACGGCTGCATTACTTGTGCGCTTGGAGCATCCTAGGATGATTTTCGCTTCTTTCATCTGCACCGCTTCGAGTTCTTTCACTACCTTCTAATTTTCCTTCCCATAGTTCTCTCCGGCGTACGCTGGCGGCGGTACGATTACGCTCTTCAAAACCGTCGATTTGATGCGTGTATCGAGGTGCCGGAGTGCGAGATTTTGGGTGCAGCTGCCCTGTTCGTGCTTTGCCCTTGTCCGCTACCTTGGACATGTGTGCATTCCACGAGCAGTCTTTTGCGATCTCTACTCCGAGGTATGTGGACTGGTCCACTACTGCAATCTCCTCGATCCCCCACTTCAAACTATGTTCTACTGGTTCCTCCTTGTCCTCGTTGCATACCATTGCGGCACTCTTCTTAAGGTTGGCAGAAAATCTCCACTATCAGTAAACTTCTCCGCCGCGTCAATTTGCAGTTGCAGTCCTTCAGGGGTGTCCGACATACCGACAAAATCATCCGCAAACAACATTGCTGACACCGAAGGTTCCGTGTCCCCTACCTTTACTCCCTTCCGGACTGCCTCTTCGACTTCCAACAGATCGTTGATGAACACCTGGAACAATGTTGGGGACAGCGTGCAACCTTGTGGGACCCCCTGCTCAATGTCGAAGAATTTATGCAGTTCTCCATCTAGCATGACCGCGCTTTTCGCACTCTGGCATCTTCTTCAGCACTCTCCACCATTTTCCCCTTGATCCCGTACTTGGACAATTGCTTCCACAGGCCATTTCTCCATACGGTATCGTATGCCTTTTTCACGTCCAGGAACAAGCAGTACGTCGGCTTTCCCGCCCGCTTTCTTCCTTGGATGATTAACCCTACCATGAATGCGTGGTCTGCGCACCCCCTCTTCTTTCGGAAACCTGCCTGGCCCTCAGTAATGCTATGTCCCTTCTCCAATACTCCCACTATCCTATCGTTCAGCAGCTTTCAGAACACTTTTCCTGCTGTGTTCAACAGTGTGATGCCCCTGTAGTTTCCTGGGTCAGTCTTGTCTCCTTTCTTAAAACAAGTTCACAACCAATCCTTCCCTCCATCTACTTGGCGTACACTCGTGTTTCCACACCCATTGTACAGTACAGCAGTACCATCAGCTGGATCATCCCCTTCCCCACAAACTTCAACTCGTTGACTCTCCTTCGCTGCTGCTGCTTTGTGGTACTGCAGCTTGTTCACACATGCCTCAACCTCGTCCTCAGTGAACTCCTTTTCTAGTTGTACGTTCCCAACGTCTGCCTTCGATGTCTCTCCTTCTTTCTGGGCCCATGCGTCCACCTCCGTCTTAAACACTTGGTCAAAAGCTTCATTCTCCGAGGGCACTCCAAGTCTCTTGTAGTGGCCTGCTAGAAGTTCCCTTTTTCCCTTCCCACTGCTAATCCGCCGTTGACACCTCGCAAAGTTGCTACGCCTGTATCCCCCCCTTGCGCGGTCGTTTTTACCATTCCACCAATCCCCTGCCACATCTGCTTGACGTTCCCCTCCAGGCCTCCGTTGGCCTTCTGCACCACTTCGTCCCTAGTGCACGTTTTCTCCTTTTTCACTAATCCCCTCACCTGTTTTCTCTTGGCCCTGTACTTTTCTCAACTCTCCTTAGACGCCTCACTCAGGTACTGCTTGAAGACTCCTCTACGTTCCCCAATATCATCTGTCAGCTCGTCATCCCACCACTTAACCGATACCCCACATCGTACCACCTTCCTTCCCACTACTCTCTCTGCCGTTGCGTTCATTATGGTTCTTGTGCGCTCCCACCCTTCAATCACCCTGTCCCTTGCTGCTTGTACGTCTACCTGTCCGTCTTCGACGCTTCTAGGCAGTTTCCTGAAGGGTTCTACACTACCAGCCGGTCCCTTTTGGAATTCATCCCGTGTCCCCTCGTCTCCCGAACGCTCTACTTTCCATCGGAAGACTTTCGTCTGGTTCTTACTCTCCATCTTTCTAGATCGGTCGATGTTTGCCCATATGAGGAAGTGGTCGGTCGAACCTATATCTATCTCTTTTACGTGCAGCTCTGGGATCTGTGTGCNGGTCCCTTTTGGAATTCATCCCGTGTCCCCTCGTCTCCCGAACGCTCTACTTTCCATCGGAAGACTTTCGTCTGGTTCTTACTCTCCATCTTTCTAGATCGGTCGATGTTTGCCCATATGAGGAAGTGGTCGGTCGAACCTATATCTATCGCACTTACGTGCTGCTGTGGGATCTGTGTGCTCCCCCTATCTACCAGGATGCCGAGTATTCATTGCACACTGCCCGTTGCCTGGTGAACTCCGGCTTATCGAATTCCCTCCTACCGTTCAACACCATCAG